GCTGGATTGATGGGTTCACCTACCGTGCCCAAAATCTCCAGGGAAGCACGAGAATGCCTGGAAGGAAATTCTTTTACAAATATGATATAAAAAACCTAAGTATTTACTAGAGTTGTTCAGCTACATATTTCGGAAAAAAAACAAGTATCTGCCCTACTTGGTCACGTAATCATCTCCCATGGCCATTAAGGCGCGAATCGCAGTTGGCGAAGTATAAAGCTTGTTCACCTGAAAGTATAAACATGAGCGAAACTAGTACAAAACTCAACATAGTCAAAGATGACTGGGACATAACGACCAGTTCATCTATACCTTGTATTTATCGGTAACCGCCCACATCCTGTCCGGAGCAGGATGAGTGGGAACTCCTTCGAACCATATACCAGTCAACCCATTCATCAATGGTCCATACAGTAAATACCTAAATAGAAACATCATCCGCTTTCGCATAGTGATAATCCCATGATGTTAACGCAAGTGAAAAAAAACGAACGTGTGTCCGGTAATCCAACCACAATCGGCCGTACACCAGTAGACATCTTTCTCAGGATGAGCATCAAAGGTACATTTGGTCGTGTAATAAGCATAAACCATGTAGCCGGCAGTTGAATGTTGAATTCCTTTAGGCTTTCCCGTCGATCCGCTGGAAACCCACATTCATCTCATATTCAAAAAAAAAAGAGCAAAGATCGCAGAAAGTCAGCATAGATAGGATAAGAAAAGTTGCATTGTCTGCCTGGAAATCCTAACTCTTCTAGCCCAGCAAAGACGCACTTTTCCCATTGATCTTAGCAGCAGAGATAAGTCTAGAGACGTGCTGTTAGCTGCGGAAGAATATGCAATCAATCCTTCAACAGAACATAACATAGTCAATCCAGGATGGGAGGCTATGCGATCAGCAAGTTTGGAAGGAGACAAACTATCCCTTATTACACAAATTAGTTACCACTTCAACACACATTAGGATAACACCTTGCGATAGTGTCACAGATGTAACCTTGAAGCAAAATGTGAAGATGCAACAGAAGCGAAAATGGTTTGTGTGTTGTGCTACCAGCTACTCAGATTTACAGAGCACATACGATGACAGTGATCACAATTATATTAACTTTTAATAAAAGTAAAGCCCAAACCAGACTAAAG